CCAATTAATTGAAAAAAAAGCTTTGACTATGATATATCGTACACAGTAATGGCATGAGGTTGTAAATTCTAGTACTTTAAATGGTGGTTGAGTAGCTTGGTGTTGGGAACTTGGAAGTATAGGTTTGTGGCAATATTCGTATCTTAAGTAACTACGCACAATTACTGAAGTTAAACCAATCAAATCAAACTCATCTGTTGTGAAGGTTATGTTTAGAAGACTATTTGTTCTGACTGAGCATAGATATGGGTGTTGTCAAAATCAAGACAGTTCCATGGGATATACAAGAAAAAATATCCCGATGAGGACTTTTTGGAAAGCATCATCTGTTCTGTCTTTTCATACTATTGCAAGGGAATTAGCGAAAGACTTATACAAAAAGTTAACCTTTAAAAGAATATTTGCTGTGACTAAGCATGGATGGGACTGTAGTCAAGATCCAGACTATGAATGGGATATTTCTCTCAAGAAAATCATACGTTGGAAAACATTAATTTTTCCATCTTCTCGTACGGCGAAGAGGAAGTAGTAAAGCAGTTATAAAGAATGCAAGATGGTATATGTCCCGGGGATAAATCTCAGCTACCAAATCACTGTGAAACCAATTTCATCTTAGACCACTGTTGCACAAGCCACGTAAGGGGAAAAAAACAAATAAGCATGGGGGTCACATACACAAGCAATAGACAAAAGATTGTAGCCCGCTCTTATTTCACTGTGTACTTTCACAGTATATAGCCTTGAATCCCCCACGAGGAACCGGGCAAGGGATACTCTCACTCATTACTACAATGGCATTGAAGCTCGCACCACATTCATAACACAGATCATCTTCTAACGGTACCCCTGCGTTACTCTGTAGAACTTTGAATGCATGCATATATGGCTCATTAAACAAGGCTGCAAACAATGGTTTGCCCACTCCCCGGACTTTATTTGTCCATGCATGTGAACTAATGTTGGGTGAATATAGTCATTCAAGGCTTTATAAAGGCTTGTAAAATGAAAGTGTGGTCTTTCGTGGACCATACTAAACAAACGATGTTTGTTGATATCAAACTGTGCCCGACGATCTAGGCCAGTCGGTTGGAAAAAAATTTATGTTGTTTGTGCATATAAAAGTAACCGATAAGATCGGAGTATACCGGGATGAGTAAGCCGATGGATTGTGTGACCCTCGTGTGTGATGGTGGTTTTCAAAGACAATGATCAAAGCCTCATCCATGTACCATCACATGGTATACATAATGATAAACCGTTTCGGGAACATCTTTCAGAGTGAAGCTTATGCATGTGTGAGAGGTGCATGTTTGCGTCATAAAAGTTGTGGTCGCATCAGATCTAGGTGACCTGAGCACGTAGCATCCACCAACTGGGATTACGACCCTTGGCTCATCGGTCAGACTTTGGTGAACCACTAATGAGCCCCTATATGGACAATGGGTCATGAAAAATACTGGGTCGGTTGATAAAGCAAGTGTGGACTATAGTCTATAGTTTAAGTTGGAGGGCCCCAGATTATTTATTCTTAGACCATATAGATCCTTATCTCATCTAATGAATTTAATTGTGTTTATTTTATGATGATATGATTTTAAAATTATTATTTGATTTTTTCTAAATTTTTGGATATTTTATTTATAAAATCGAAGATATTGTTTTTTAATATCTTAAATATTCAAATTAATTCTAAAATCATTTATTGATTTTTAATTATTTAACAATAACATTGGGCCCATTGAGCACATGGGCCTAGCATGCCCTAAATTGGTGGGGCCAACAAAGCCACGACATGGGTGGCACGCCCCTATTTTTGGGGTTTCCTATTCGCATGGATGGCAAGTCGTTTTCTATCTTTTATGGGATAAGTGGTTAAAAAAGATTTGAGTGAATTTTTTAAAAGGATTGATTGAGCAAATTTTTTGATAAAGCACAACATTATGATTAATAGTATTTTATTTTATTTATATTAATGGGATAATGGTCAAAGGAAAGATAGAGATAAAAGTTCTTGTACCTTCCATAATATTGATGGCTTGTCTGTAGAATTGATGGCTCAGATATCTCGCCTCACAAGTCACCCAAGATAAATGATTCATATTCAATCTCATGAGAAGAGGCAACTCAATGAAAATCCTAAAAGACCCTAATCTTGTTCAAAAGCCAATAAAAAGGGATTGTCTTTACCTAAAATCTCTACACATTATCTCTTATACTTAATTCTCATCTTTCTCTCTCATATTCCAAAAGGGGGTACATCCCACTCCCCCATCTTTTATATCTCTCTCTCACATTGTGAAAGAACCTAAGGGCTTATGTTATGAACTTCTCTCTTTCATCTCTCAACTATGAATTTATGGCTAAGGGTTTTAGGGTGTAGCAAAAAGATAATTCATCTCTCTAAAACTAGGTTGCTAATGAGATTCACCTAAGTGTTTGGGATTTGTGATAAAATAATTCATAATTCCATTAGAGAGCTTGGCTTAGACTTGCTTTCCTAGTTGAGATTGAAGGTTAATGGTTAATCCCGTACTATCAGATGGTGGTGACTCGGTGTGGAGTATAATAAACCCGGTTGAAGTAATCTCCGATACTCTCTTTTTGTTTCTTCCCATATTTCATTATATTGCTTTTATATTTGCAAGCATAAGAATTTTGGATATTTTTTTTGTGTAAAGAAATGTGGTTTAATGTTATCAAGGTTTTTAAGATCTGTTAGTTTAATTTTCTTTGAAGCAATAGTTATTGTAATAAGACTACTTGTATGTGATCTATACCAAAATAAAAGAAAAACGGTGAAAAGAAAAAAAAAAAAAATAATTCCCCAATAATATCGCATTAGTCTTTCTTTCAACTAAAACATTTGTAGTCCATTACGATGGTGTAATACTCCTCAGTCCACTAGGTGCACACATGCTCTTCAATATGAGTTATGTTTATTTCCATGCTTGGGGCAGTTACATAATTCAAATTCAAAATGCTCACATATGATCATTACATTCAGTACTATCAGCTCGTCTCTTGCTTACTAACTTACCTCGCTCATCCCTATACACCATCTAGCCCAAGGTCTCGCGCCAAAGATCTTTAACCATTAGCCCACATGTAGCAATGTTGTACCAACCTTGCCTCTCGCTCCATCAAGACTGTGGAGGGCTTCATCTCCCTCATTTAGGTTTGTCACTTCAAAGAACTGGTTTGTTTGGAGAGATAGCTAGGTTTGTCACTTCAAAGAACTGGCTTGCTTGGAGAGATAGCCACATCCCCAGCATAACACAAGCCCACTCAAGACTTGCAAGACCTTTGTGATTTGTTATGTTGTTGAAGGGAATCGCTCACTGCAGGCAAGGCTGGCGAAGGTGGCACAACATGAAGTCGAGTTTTCATTCTTACAATCTCATTTGTTAATATTTAATAAGAAAACAACAGAAAAAGAAGACAAGATGGTAAGTATGAAACTATAGGAAGTTAAAAGTTTTTGGTTGGAACCAAACTTTTAAATTGCTCTTTCATTTTGAGTAGTTTTAATAGGGATTGTATATAACGAGACGATTTATATTTGATGCAAAAACGTCATAATTATTTGTGACATGTGAAATGTGATAGTTTTGTTGTGTCACAAAGTAAAAAAAAATTAGATGTTTAGGTTTAGTCAATAAAATAAATGCAACCGTCCAATTCCATATCCAATTCCATTTCCAAATGGTAAAATATTTATTGTTGGGAACTGAGATTGTTCACTTGGTTGTGGTAGAAATAAATGTCCTTGGTTATGGTTTGGTTGGCATTGAGTGTGTATGGGGAGGCAGTGGGGCTGGACATGTCGTGTAAATAGGGATCATCAAGATAGGTATCTACATCTTCTCTATGCATGATTTCAACTGCCACCGAACAAAATTAGTTTCCGCTTTTTTAACCAATCCGATCTAACTCAGTTACGCTAATTATACTCATTTCTAGCAAGTACCAAGGGTGGCAATGGTCTCGACCAAACCGGGGAGGGATAGATCGGATTTGGGTATGGGTCCAAGCATTAGAGTTGGCGGTTCAGGTCCGGGGTCCAAATCTTTTAGGCCTATTTATTGTGAATTATGGTAGGGCCTTGGTTGAGCCTTAGATTAAACTTTCAGCACAGGGCCTAACGGTTTCAGGCTCAGACCTGCCAGGTCCGAGCCCACTCTACACTGTTTAGGGCTAGGCTCAGACACAAGCAAACTCGAACCGAACCCAGCCGAGCCCGTCAACCACCCCCATGTAAAAGCTTGCTTAAGGTCATAAAATGCTATGATTAAGTTATTAAAAGCTCCAAAAATAAAATAAAAATATTATGATTAACAACCAGCCGCCTATGTAGAACAAATTTTAGCATAGGGTGAGCGTGCGCACTGTTTTTTTTTTTTTCTTTTTTTTTGAACGGTAGTATGGGCAGTGTTAAATTAATCACATACATGTGCGCATTGCACTCTCCATGATTGACGCCGTGAATGTCGTAGTTATCCATGTTCATGTCCCCTTAAATTATTGCGAACAAAACGAATCCAAACCAGTCTTTATTAAATACCCAAATTGCCCTCAATTGGGCGAGATTCAATTATTAGCTCTCGCCCCAGAATTTACAAGCTCAAAATAAAAACAAAATTCTGAACAGTTACAAGTTTTGAATTGATAAAGTTACTTTGGTGAAGGATAAATAAATAAATAAAAGCAATAAAGAGATTATTCGAAGACATTTTTGTACGGAATTTTGAATCAAAATGTTCATCCAATAATGTTTTAAGCATTAAGGACCATTAGGCACAGTTCCATGTAAAATAGAATAGAATTAAATAACTAGAAATCATGCATATGGTTTTAACTTTAATACCTAAGAGCTGTAAAGAATGCAAAAATAAAGCTCTCTTAAAAACCCGGGACATAAATTTCCTGAAGCTTTCAAAAACAAAGTTTCGCAGTTCTTTTTTCTTTTTCTTTTTTTGTTAAGGCAACCTTTCACGGATAAATTCATATCACAATGCCAAAACTTGTTTCATATCGCCTGAGCTAAGAACGACAACATTATCTACAGATCAACGGTCAAGATCCGGTGCTTACAACCTGAATCCCCAAATCCAACCGTCCAACCCCTCCCTCAAAAACCACACCACAAAGACCGGTGCTGTATTATGGCTATGGAGTACACACATAGAGCACATACGCATTAAACACATACACACATAAACGACACTACATGTACCTTGCACTTCGTATAGTATACATGTACCCTATCCTCTCTCTCCGTGGCCAACAAAACAAGCCGTCGATCGTCGGATCCTACGGCGCGGGAGCCGCGAGACAATTGACGAGGGCGAGGGCGTTGCTGGTGACCTGCGCGACATTCTGTATCCTCGCCTTCACAGCCGACTTGGTGCTCCCATCAACCCCCTGAAAGCCATCGACGCAGGTGTTTTCGTTCGTGAGGGCGGCGCTTACCCACGTCTGCACATTGCTCATCCGCCACTGGAACGTGCCACCGCCGACACGCCCCATCTCGCCGAGGGAGCGCTTGATCTCGTCGACAGAGTCGCCCATGTTCTCAACGCAGTCCCGTATAGCCCCTGCCTCGCGCGCTCGCAAGCCTCTGGTTGTGCCGAGTTTAGCTACAAAGGACGAGGTGGACTTGGCGCGGGTAAGGCTGACGGAGAGGGCGGCATGGGCGAGCTGGCGAGGGCTGGTGCGGATCGCGGGAGCGTACGCCGAGAGCGACGAGACGCAGAGTGCAGGATACCGAGTGGTGCGGCACGAGGCTCGGATGAAGCTCGTGGCCGCTGCGAGTTGCTGCTGTGAAGGTCTCTGTTGGTCGGACGAGGCGGAGGTGAGGAGGAGCAGCGGAGCTATGCAGAGGAGGAGGAGGAGGAGGAGGAGTCGGGTGGAGAAAGGGGGCCGAGCCATGGAGTTGCTAGTGTCCTTGCTACGGTGCTTTTGATAAGAGGAATGTGGGTTGCGTTAGTAGGAGAGAGTGGTTGGGCCACTGACGGTTGCTTTATAGGTCATGTGACAGGTTTTTAACCTATTTTTGGGTTTTCCCTTTATCAGTCTGATTTTTTTTTTTAGTTTTTTCTTAACCTTACTAGTTTCAAAAATATCAGGTGTACTCCTACTGATGGGGTGATAACTACCTACAAAATTTATTCTAGTTTCGACCTATTGGAACCTTATCCAAAGATAACCCAAATCTTGCTTTTACTCGTGTCTAAAGTTCGGCATCTTGCGTTGGCAATATTTTTTTCCTAGATTAAGGACCTACTTTTTGAGTATTTTTTCAATCTAAATTGAGGTGAGAAGGTTATGAAAATTGGAGTCATCAAATAACTATTTCATGATCCCAAAACATTCAAAAGTTACTATTTCTAAAAGAGATAAAGGCGTGTCTTCCCCACTAATCTACCTTAAAAAGAAAAGGGACCAGCCAAACTGAAATGACCGATTAAAAAGTTTTAAGGCCCAAAATGGGGAATAATCCAAAATTGGAGCCCTATAATCCATGAGCCCACCATTTTCTCCTTTTATCGAATATTGAATAGCAATTGCCACAATTTCGGTTTATTGAAGTCGGAAGGTGCGAACCAATTGAAAAGAGAGCGTCACTTTTGAAGTTCAGGCGAAATTTCGGCTGAATTTCTGTTTCGAATATTTGCTTTGACTGCAAATCTAAACGGTCCTCGCTTTTTTGAAAGTTAAGCGCAAATTTCGGCAGAAGTTCGGGTTTCGGGCACTGCGCTCAAAAAAAGTAAAAAAGCAGACACGATGGAATGGACCATGATACATGAGTGAGTTTGGGAAATGAAGTTGGCTGCATTTACTTCTAAAAATGAGGAGAATAAATGTTGGTCAGACGGTTGAGCTACGATAACTTTTAAGAAGTTCCCAAGATGCCGATGACAATGAAGGGTATGGACTTCAATTTTTTTTCTCAAACCCGTCTCAAGCATAGATGAATTATGTGAGTTGTATTAAGTAGGCAACCAGACTAAACTTTTATCAAAATTTTTCATGAATCTTCAATTTGCCCCGGTCTATTTCAAATTATTCTTTAAATAAATTATTTTTCCTTGTCCTCTATTATGGATTTATAGGCTTTTGTTTTCCATCCAATTCTACTTAGCATTTCCAAGAAATTTATCCCATTGTTCATTTCCTTTACGTTCTCTTATGGTCCATGAAACAAATTAGCTTGGATAGCTCAGTACCCGCCAATTTGAACATACAGGGTTGTTCAATACCAGTACGCATATCTTGGGCCTTTTTTAATATAATTTTTTTAAATGCCTAAGTTAGACATACATAGCCCAAAATTTTCAGTATATCAAAATAATATACATCATCATCATAGTTTTTTTCTAAGTAATTGAGGTTTGCTATATAAATCCCGGTCCACTATTCTGCTCTATTTAAGGTCATACCCTCAGTGATGCTATAAGTCTTCATATCTTTTCGAACTACTTCCAACTATGTTTTTTTGGGCCTACCCCTTGCCTTTTTCAATTCTTCCAGTTGAACTAACTTGTACCTCTTGATAGGTGCTGTACTGGGTCGATACCATATATAGCCAGCCCAGCTAAGTCCACTCCCTCTCATCTTATTGTCTATTGATGCCACACCTAAACTTTTTCAAATGGGTTCATTTCAGATTCTATCCCTTCTTGTCTTGTCAAACATCCATCTCAACATCATCATCTTCACTGCATTCATTTTATGGGTATATTATTTTTTGTCCACTCAGCATTTTTCCCCATAAAGTAAAGCTGGTCTCACAACGTTCCTACATAACTTACCCTTTAGTTTTCTTGGTATGTGGCGATCACATAAAAATCTAGTCACACATCTCCACTTTGCCCACCCAACTCTAATTTTATGTGCAATATCTTCCTCAATCTCTCTATTTTCTTGGATTACCGACCCAAGGTATCGAAAGTGCAGTCTTTTATGTATTTTCTGGCTGTCAAACTTAACTACTTCTTCGTCACTACTCTTATTACTACTGAATTTACATTCTATATACTTTGTCTTAGTCCGGCTAATTTTAAAACCTTTGGATTTATAACTTTATGTTGATGTTGTTTCGGGTCTCATCGATCAAAACTATGTCATCTGCAAACAATATGCACCATGGTTCCTCATCTTGCAAGTACTTAATTAAGTCATCCATAACTAAGATAAAGAGGTACTGGCTCAATGCTGACGGTTTGATGTAGACCAATTGTCACTAAAAACTCACTCATCTCTTCACTAATTATTCGTGCACTAGTTAGAACTACATCGTATATATCTCTCACCAAATCGATGTACTGTCTGGAGACTCCTTTCTTTTTGAAGAAACTACAAATCAAATCTCGAGATATTCTATTATAAGCTTTATCTAGGTCATTAAAAACCATATGGAGGTCTTTTATCTTCGGCTTAAACTTCTCAATTAGTTATCTAAGTAGGAAAATAGCTTCGGTTGTTGACCTTCCTAGCGTAAAACTAAATTGCTTTTCAAATACACTCATTTCATGACTTAGTTGTTGTTCAATCACTCTCTCCCAAAGCTTCATAGTATGACTCATAAGCTTGATCCCTTGATAATTCACACAATTCTATATGCCGGATTTGTTCTTACAAATAAGTACCGCAATACTTTTCCTCCATTCGCCTGACATTTTCTGTGTTCTCAGCACCTTGTTGAATAGCGTTGTCAGCCAGTCAATGCCAATCTCTCTCATGCACTTCCAAACTTCTATCGAGATATCATCTAGTCCTAAAGTCTTTCCTATCTTTATAATTTTCAAAGCTTTTTTCACTTCCAACATCCTAATCATACAAATGTATCTAAGATGTACGCCCTCATTAATACCAATAGTTCATCTATCGCTATGTTCTCATTGTGTTTGTCACTTAATAATTTTTTAAAATAAACTATCCACCTTTCATCGACTTCGTCGTCCTTCACTAAGAACATTTGATCTTCGTTCTTAATGCATTTAATATAGTTTAGATCTCTACATTGTTTCTCTCTTACATAAGTTAAAAAAAAATCAAATACTATTTAAGTCATGCTATTTATCCAAATCAGCCAGATTCAATCTTGGCCTTTCAATGGTAACTAGCAATAATACTATGAAATATCTTGCTCTTAATAATTGGTTGGATGGAGAGAATTCTAGAACTTGTGCCACCAAAGTAGGAAAAATATACAATTCACATTACCTTAAATTCTTTTGGTAGAAGGGCCACATAATCAAGGAGGTGGGATAGGACCCTCCACGCCATTATGGAAATGCAAAGGATGGAAGAATAGGGATATTTTCAATGGTCACATAGTTAGATAATCCTGTTAATGGTAAATGGAGAGTAAAGAGGATAAAAGGTTAAGTGGGGTAAGGGCCAAAGAGGTGTTAAACCGACAGGCCAATAAGTCAGAGACCTGTGAGCGCACATGCAATTTTTCTTGTGATCCATGGGCCATGTTCCTTTTTTCTTCATCTTCTTTATTTATTTATTTATTTTAGGTACGTTTTGAGCTTTTCCACTCAATAGCATCAAGAGTTGTGGAGGAGGATCAGCCGTATTATGACCAGTTGAAATTGAAATTTTTTTTTTTTTTGTCATGGTGTGAAGATGAAATGATTCTAACTTAGGTCTTTCATCCATTTCAAACCAATGGTCCTAGTTCCTTCACCCTTTCCATACCATATTGTGCCCCCACTAATAATTAATGAGTCTTTATTCTCAAAAAAATATCTTATGACCCGATTAGATATGGAAAAATATACAAAAAAAAACATTTATTCTTTATACAATAAGCTCACAGTCATTTTTATCCATCAAATTTCAAATTAAATGGTTGTGAGTATGTCAATGATTAGACTCAAAAGTTTTTTAAAAAAAAATCTCGAATTTTATGGCATACTCCAAGCCATATAATTTTTACATCTAACGGATAGTAGCAATTGTAACCTTCTTATAGCAAAGATAGATGGTCTCGTAATATACAATCCCATTTGTTATAGTTGGACGAGCATAATATGTACTACTCTCATGGGCAAAAGGCTTACATGGATTTTTTTTTTAATTTTATATTTCTAGGATCTAATGTAGAATCACCAATGAGTATTTGAAAACAAAAAATTGATATGTAGTTTTTAAACGCTTAAATTTGGCCATCTCAAAATTTGGACATTATTTTTTCAAACGCATATAAAATAAATATGAATTTTTTTTTTTTTACATGGACGCTACGTTGCATCCCTAAAATTTGGGGTCCTCAAAATATTCCAATATGTAATTTTCTAGGTGTGAGTAGGAGCATACAATCTTTTGGCTAGAAGGAAAAAGTTCATATAAGGTTGCAACATGTAGAATTAAATATGCACCTCAAAAATCCATCAGAAAAGGTTATTTAATATTGAAAAACCCTCGAATTGATTATCTCGACATCGTATGAATATGAAAAAATATATATATAGAGATTTTGAGTCTCTGAAATAATGAATCTTACAACACATTATCTAGACCGTCCATTTTCAAGATTTCTATACGTTTATAGATCTACTTGATTTTATCTATTTTTACAATTAAAAATTTGAAAATAGAGATGAAACTAGATTTTCAGATAATTATAATAAATTTTTATATCAAAATCAATGCCTCAATTGGATTATTCAAGGTTGCAACCTTACAGACATCAACGTTGACAAATAAATCTCTCTCTCCCTCTTTCATATTTCATATTTAGGATGGTTCTGGAAACTTGTTAGTGTTAACAACTATGTGCCGACTACATTGAGCTTTACTTGTAATTGACGGCGATCCGTCTATAAGTCGTTGGGATCAATATAATATACGTGTTGTATATTATGTTTTATGTGAAAAGGTTTAATGGTCAGCTATGGCTTGGCCTTTTAGACCGTAATCTGTGCCGACAAACATTAAGATTTCAAACAAGCGTCAAAATCAAATACTAGAGATTTGTTACTGACAAAGGGCCAAAA